TTGAAATTTTTTAAAAATAAAAATATATAAAACTCCAGATAATAGTAATGTGGGCACCTAGGTTCAATGGGTAGTTAACTTTTGATGATCCTTATCATGTTTAGAAGGAATATAGAAATACTAAATAATTTTATATGTATTAAAATTTTATAGTTAATTATATACTTTTTAAATCTAAAGGTAACCATGAATAGAAATAAAAGCTTTAGCAAGAAGTTGGGGGGAGGGGGAAGTGCAGAAAACCAAAGGCCAAATTTAAAAGAGTAGAAGTTAGTCCCAATATGCCAGTAATCCCAATAAACATAAATATAAAAGCATTAAACACAACTATTTAAAGACATTCTCAGGTTGGGTTTAAAAACACAATCCAGACATATATTGAATACATTGCTCTTATAAGCCATACATAAACTAAAACTATACGAAAATAATGAAAATAAAAGAATCTAGAATGTTATTTCACATAAATACTTATCAAAGGAGAGCAAGTATGGCAGAACTAACATCAGATAAAACAGAATTTAAGGCAAAAAATATTTCTAGAAATGAAAACTGACACACTATATACATATGGTCAAATTTCTTTCCTGAAAGAGTATATTGTTTTCCGTTTCCAGCAGCAAAGTGTATTATTCCCAACAAGCATTACAATACAGGGCAGTATCAATATCTTGTTTATATTTACCAATTTGATAAGTAAAAAGAAAAACAAAAAGCGAGTCTTTAATTGCTTTTTCTTTTCTTTTCTTTCTTTCTTTTTTTTTTTTTTTTTTTTTTTTTGAGAGAGGGGTCTGGCTCTGTCACCCAGGCTGGAGTACAGTAGAGTAATCATGGCTCACTGTAGCCTCCATCTCCTGGACTCAACCAATCCTCCCACATCAGCCTCCTGAGTAGCTGGGACTACAGGCACATGCCACCATGCCCAGCTAACTTTTTAAATCTTATGCCCAGCTAATTTTTTAAATCTTTTGTAGAGATGGAATCTTGCTATGTTACCCCAGTTGTGTAATTTCAAAGCCCATATTCTCTCAAATGTAATCATAGTGACCACACAACAAAACTGATGTTCTGGAATCAATGGTGAGCTCCCAGCCAAGGGAGGCAGAAACTGGTAGTCCTGTGAGGGTTCAGGTGGACACTGAGCCACGGCCTGGGTGGCAACAAGGGCAGATGAAGGAAGACACAGTTCCCTGAGCTGATAGGCAGGGAGGCCAGCTATCCCAGGGCGTCTGACCAGAGGGCCCCAGCCCCAAGGCCTACATCTGTTCTGCGTGGCATGTAACTGAATTAATTCTCAGCAGTTTATTTAATTTCTATACAGCACATTATTTAATTTCTATACAGCACAGTATTTACTTTCTATACAATTACCCACAAAGCTGTTCAGCGCCTGGAGGCACCAAACAATAGTTCTCTACAACCACCTCTGAAGGACCAATTGCCTTTCAGTTTCACACAAAGCTCTCATTAAAAACTCTTGACTGGAACTAGGTGGTTAGCAATTTCCAGAGAAATCTCTGATATATTTACCCTGGAAAGAAAGAAAGAGAGGAAAAAAAAAAAAAGGCTTTCTATAAAATTTACTAAAATTGTTAATAAAAACCCTTTGAGTTTACTGAAAACAACTGAGTGACTAATTCACACCAGGCATTCTGCTGGAGACTTTCACACTGTGTTCTCAGACCTACTTCTCAGAAAAACCCCACAGTTTTGGACGTATCTTTGTCCTCATTTAACTGACAATCAAACTGAGTGCCAGAGAGGTTAAATGACCCGCCCAACGTCAAAAGCCAGTAAGAGGACCATGCTTCAAACCAAGATTAATGAGCTTACACAGGGAAACCCTCAGGCAGCTCTGTTATTCAGAGTTATCAGCAGCATGGTTAAGACCAAAACTAATAGTTATAATTCCTCATGACCTAGCTCGGCTCATTGAGGATACTCTGAATGTAACAAAGAGTTTAGAAAAAAACCATACATTATGATTAAAATGAGCAGAAATTTCAGATTCAATATTTCTAGTTGCATTCTGAAAAAACTGTATGCTTAGTTAACAATAACCACTTCTGCAACGGGTAGACAGTTAATCATTTCACATAATGCTGGATCCAAGTGATATTATTCCCTGACAGACTGGGCTTCTGGTCCACATGCTTTTGCTGATGCAGCTGCTCTAGCCTGATGCTTTAGAACAGGCTTTTGATTTATAGTTTGAAGTTAAAATTACCGAAGAGTTTTAAAAGCAGTACAAAAGCCATATGCATCTTTCTGTCACTATCTCAGAATACTGCTTCCATTTTTGCCCATATTTTTACTTGAGTGGCTGGAATTTAGGTGTAGATATACAGAATAGGAAAACTAACAGCAGAATAGGGAAATTATTACAAAACTATATGAAATATTTTAAAGTTCTGAAATAAAACAGCTAAAGACGCTTTGGTATCGACACTCACTTTCAGAATAAATGAGTGAAGGTGTGAAGGCAGAAACGCTGACATCTGTTAGTGTGTTTTTTTCTATTTGCTTCCCCTGCCACAGCCACATCCTATCTACCATTATCTGTACATGCAGACAAATGAAAACAGACCGAGCTTGCTACACCACACAAACAAGGTTTCCATTTATCTGGCCCCGTATAGCTCCTAGAAGCATTTTCCTAAGGAAAGCAATCACTTGCTGATGGGTTTAGTTTTGTTGTTTTTGTTTTAAAGCATTGACCCAAAGAGAAAATCTCTACGGAAGCATATCAGTATCTTTTAAATTCTTCAACAAGGAATTAAAAAAAAAAAAAAAGGAGGAAATGCATTCCTGGTAATTCTGTGCCAGATCACTTTCATTGTAAATATTTTTTTAAAAAATAAGTAGCCTTAGAAACATAAACATTGCTCCTTTTTAGGCATCATTGTAAATATTTCTGCTATCTCAGGAGCAGCATTGCAAAAGGCCTCATGCTTTATCCTTAGCAGAAAGGTTGGTCCACCGCAGCTCCCATGGAGCTAAACAAACACAATTCAGGTACGTACCTTGTTATCTCAAAATACATTTCCCATAGGCAATGTGGTTAGATCAATTATATCCACAGATCACTTTTTCAAAGTCTTATTTTATCCTCATCTTTACCAAATCTTTTGCTAAAATATTGGAAAAAAAATAAGCAAAACGGCATTGAGTTTCTCTTTTTCTCCTACTCAGTCTTTTCTTTGAAGAGTGGTGCTGGAGAGCGCTAAGATGTAAAGAGCATAAAGGAGGAACAGCAAGACTCCTAACTGAACACAAAAAAATAAGTAGTTAGCTCTTTGAATAATCTAAAGTTGACATATTAGAGAATTAGGCCTGTAATCTTCAGCTGTAAAAAACAGATCTACAAAGGTAACAAGCAGCAAAAAAGAAAAAAACAAAACCCTAAATAAGGTTCTGAAAAATGCTTCTGCTTCTTCCCACACATATGAAAAACATTAACAGCATGTAAAAAGGAGTTCTCTTCTGAGGTTTTACCCAAAAATCCTACCTGTGTCTCACTAAGGCTCCTGACTATTAAATGCCACCAGTTACCCTTGGTGGCAAAGTAAAATACAAATCAGTAGTTAATTGTGTGTTAAAAGAACAGCAAATTCTTTGAAGTTGTTCTTGAAGAAGCATGGGCTATCTAATTAAGGGATGTTTAAAGAACAAAAGAGGAGGAGGAGGAAGAAGAAGAGGGGGAGGAGGGAGAAGGAAGAGGAAGACGAAGAAAGGAGGCAGAGAAAAGGGAGGAAGATGGGGAAGAGGAGGAGGAGGAACAACAATGCAGGGGAAAAGCTTCTTTTTTTTTTTTTTTTTTTTTGAGATGGAGTCTCGAACTGTTGCCCAGGCTGGAGTGCAGTGGCGTGACCTCGGCTTACTGAAAGCTCCGCTTCCTGGGTTCACACCATTCTCCTGGCTCAGCCTCCTGAGTAGCTGGGACTGCAGGTGCCCGCCACCACGTCCAGCTAATTTTTTGTATTTTTTAGTAGAGACAGGGTTTCACCATGTTAGCCAGGCTAGTCTCGATCACCTGACCTTGTGATCTGCCTGCTTCGGCCTCCCAAAGTGCTGGGATTACAGGCGTGAGCCACTGCACCCGGCCTGGAAAAACCTCTTACTGAAGATCAAGAAGCCAACTCAAGTTTAAAATTGAGTCTCATGCACAGTGTTTCTCAAATAGAAACACCCATTCTGACCTGTTCTAAACTACATGGCATCTCCGGCTGGGAATACAGACCAAAATAGCCAAACACAAGAAAGACTGAAGATCAAACACAAGCCAGCTGCACTCAGGAGAAATTCTCTAGTATCTGCCTACAGAATACAATTAGCTCGGGTATACTACACTAAAAATTGCTTTCAAAGAACAGTTCAAAAACTGAGTTTCTTTTTTGCTGTCTATTCATAATAAAATGTTTGCAGAGATTTGACATCCTTTGATATACTTATATAATTTGTAACATACATAATGTCCATTCAACTTTATAAAGTAAATTTTAATCAAAGCTATATATATTTTCTGTGTAGAGCCTAGCGATTCAAAATAGTGAGAAACACGTCACAACAGTGAGAAACATGATACACAAGCAATATCTTAGTAAGGATAACCCCGATTTCTTTTTTCTTTTTTTCTTTTTTTGTATTTGAGGTCAACATAAGTAGTTTGCTCTCTCTGAAAAGTGTAAGTCAGTTGCCAAATGAAAATGGTATTCTTCAGCCTATGCCAGAAGTAAGTTCCTTAGTCTTCTTGCCTAGTCTTGGACAAGACCATTAACATTACTCAACAGCAACTAAAATCTTCACATCAATTTAAATATGTCTATCCTTGCCAACACTTTGTGTCTAGAGTTGACTCTATAAATAATGTTGGGTGATTAGTAAGATTAAAATTGGACCTTCAACAATCCAATGTCAATGTTGCTATTCTTGGTTTGCATTTTAAAAAGCTGATGGGTTTGTTCACTTTATTCAAGTAAAAAATCAAATGAAAACCTCACCTTGTGATGCCCAAATTCATTCAAAATGCTTCCCAGTTTTCTGGTGTTGCTATGTGGTTTTTGGGCAGCAACAGCTGGATGGGGATCCCGCCAGTCAATGGACAAGCGGTGATACCAAAGGTGCTGACTCTCCAGAATGTGAGCTGACTTGACACTAGGATCAAAACGATGCACTTCACATCCATTGTTAGCCATGCTGACCTCAAAATGGGTATCATCACTTCCCAGCCTATAAAGAAAGAGGATGGAAATCAACAACTAAAAATGCGATGAAGCAAAGTGCTGGACTGACAAGATAACACTTCCAAGGCCAAGGTTCTTAGTTATATCAAGCCTTCTCTTGTTTTAACCCATGGCTAATATACACATTCAATAAACTTTCTTTCACAAAAAAGTATTATTGCTTAAAGCTTCTGGATGAAAGATAAATTACCTGCTAAACAAAGACCAGAGAATCACATACTCAAACATGTAGACGCAACATCAAATTGGCTTTTTTAAGTGATGTAAATCACAGTAGCAATGAAACAAAGAAGACTATCCAATAGTCTTAGATTTTTTCAGAATATGTCCAAAAATATAAGCCCCAGGATTAGTTCTCTTGAGGAGAGGTGTGTTCTACTAATGAGGTAATTTGTCTCCATTCTAATGGCCACAGTGCTGCATATGCAATTTGACTTAAAGACAACAGCTGTTTTCTTAGAAATGTAATATATTTTTAAATAGTGCAGATAAGAAAAAAGGCAAATGTATGTGAATCTGCTGCATCCAGAACTCAAGAAGCAGAAGGTTCCCTCACCTAAATTCACACCAAAAGGGGAAGAAATTATGAATTAATTGTACTTAAGTACTCAATAGGTAGCACAACATATGGAAAATTATAAACTTACGAATACTGAATTGACTCAGAAATATTCCTTATTTAATGGTGCAAGGATTGTCACTTTGATTAAAGCACCAGTTTTTTGTTTGTTTGTTTTTCTTTTTGTTTTTTGAGACGGAGTCTCGCTCTGTTGCCCAGGCTGGAGTGCAGTGGTGCAATCTCGGCTCACTGCAACCTCTGCCTCCCGGGTTCAAGCGATTCTCCTGCCTCAGCCTCCTTAGTAGCTGGGATTATAGGCGCATGGCACCATGCCCGGCTAATTTCTGTATTTTTAGTAGAGACGGGGTTTCACCACATTGGTCAGGCTGGTCTTGAACTCCTGACCTCGTGATCTGCGCACCTCAATCTCCCAAAGTGCTGGGATTACAGGCGTGAGCCACTGCGACCGACCTAAAGCACCAGTTTTAATGTAAAACATGAAATTAACTGAGAATGATTTTTTTAAATGGTGATTATGGTTTCTCTGCCCCAAATACTGTACTTATATGTGATTTAGGATACCAAAATCCCACAGAGTAGCTACACTACTTGGCCGAACCTAAACACAGTGCAGAAACACTTCAATCTAGTAGATTCTACTACAGCTGACCATTGAACGACACAGGTTTGAACTGCGTGGGTCCACTTGTAAGTGGATTTTTTTCAATAAATACAGTCAGCCCTCCATAGCTATGGGTTCCATGTCCACAAATTCAACCAACATGGATCAGAAATACAGCATTGATGGGATGCAGGAGCCTACTGATATGAAGGGCCAATGTTTTGTATCTGTGAGTTCTACAGCCAGACTTGGTATTTCGTGGATTTTGGTATCTGTTGGTGGGGAGAGGGTGGCCTAGAACCAACTGCCAACCCCATACGGAGGGATGACTGATGATTGCATAATCTGGAAATACACAAGTTCAGCGGATAATAACTATTTACCTTATTTTAATTAACTAAAATAAGCCTTCGGTTCAGAGATCATCCACCTAGACAATTTTTTTTTTTTTTTTTTGAGATGGAGTCTGGCTCTGTCACCCAAGCTGGATACGCAGTGGCACCATCTCAGCTCACTGCAACCTCTGCTGCTGGGATTCAAGCAATTCTCCTGCTTCAGCCTCCCGAGTAGCTGGGATTACAGGTGTGCCCCACCATGCCTGGCTAACTTTTGTATTTTTAGTAGAGACGGGGTTTCACCATGTTGCCCAGGCTGGGCTCAAACTCCTGACCTCAAATGATCCACCCTCCGTGGCCTCCCAAAGTGCTGGGATTACAGGCATGAGCCATGGCACCCCACCTAGACATTCTTAATACAGGCAGCCCTCTGTATCCACAGATCTGATTCACAAATTCAACCAACTGCAGATTGAAAATATTCAAAAAAACAAAAATAAAAATAATACAACATTAAAAATAGTAGAAATAAAAAGCAATACAGTATAACCACTATTACATGGCATTTACATTGTATTAGGTATTATAAGGAATCTAGAAATGATTTAAATGATGCAGGAGGATGTGCATAGGTTATATACAAATACTACACCATCTTATATCCAGGACTTGAGCATCCTAAATTTTGATCTTTGCAGTGGTCCTGCAACCAGTCTCCATGGGTGTGGAGGGGTGCTGATAGTCTCATTTGCCTCTTCCTCACCCTTCACCCAACTACACTGCTCTTTTTCCCACTGCATCCCATGGTAAGTCAGCCCTCTGATGTCCCTCAGCCATAGCTTTTTCAACCCTTTTTGCCTAAAGAAAATTCAGCACTCCTCTCACAAGCACTTCCATTTCTTCCACATAACAGATCTTGTTCCCTATTTTCTACCTCCTATTGAATCACACAGCTCAAGTCTCTGCCCCAGTTTTCCCCCAGTTTTCCATGATCAAATCTGATGTGGCAGATTGACTTGTTGACTCTGTTTCTTCAACCCTGCACCATCCACACTACTCCATGCTCATCATGAGAAAGAGTCTTTCCCTGTCCCTTGACTTTTTGGCTTGGCCATGTGCCTTGCTTTATGGAAGGAAGTGGGAGTGTGCCAGTCCAGATCCTAAGCCTTGAGTGCTTCTGTTCTCTCTCTTACACTGTCATCATGATAAAAACGTACCCTGGAGAGTCTGCACTCCAGCCAGTCCACCGGCCTTCTGTAAAATACGGAACCTCCCTTAGCCATCTCAGCTGAATACTATAAACACCTCTACGCAAATAAACTAGAAAATCTAGAAGAAATGGATAAATTCCTGGACACATACACCCTCCCAAGACTAAACCAGGAAGAAGTTGAATCCCTGAATATACTAATAACAGGCTCTGAAATTGAGGCAATAATTAATATCCTACCAACCAAAAGAAGTCCAGGACCAGACGAATTCACAGTCGAATTCTACCAGAGGTACAAGGAGGAACGGGTACCATTCCTTCTGAAATTATTCCAATCAATAGAAAAAGAGGGAACCCTCCCTAACTCATTTTATGAGGCCAGCATCATCCTGATACCAAAGCCCAGCAGAGACACAACAAAAAAAAGATAATTTTAGACCAATATCCCTGATGAACATTGATGCAAAAATCCTCAATAAAATACTGGCAAACAGAATCCAGCAGCACATCAAAAAGCTTATCCGATAATTGGCCTTCATCCCTGGGATGCAAGGCTGGTTCAACATACACAAATCAGTAAACGTAATCCATCATATAAACAGAACCAAAGACAAAAACCACATGATTATCTCAATAGATGCAGAAAAAGGTCTTTGACAAAATTCAAAAGCCCTTCATTCTAAAAACTCTCAATAAATTAGGTGTTGATGGGATGTATCTCAAAATAATAAGAGCTATTTCTGACAAACCCACAGCCAATATGATACTGAATGGGAAAAAACAGGAAGCATTCCCTTTGAAAACTGGTACAAGGCAGGGATGCCCTCTCTCACCACTCCTGTTCAATATAGTGTTGGAAGTTCTGGCCAGGGCAATCAGGCAGGAGAAAGAAATAAAGGCCATTCAACCTGGAAAAGAGGAAGTCAAATTGTCCCTGTTTGCAAATGACATGATTGTATATTTAGAAAACCCTATCGTCTCAGCCCAAAATCTCCTTAAACTGATTAAAGCAACTTCAGCAAAGTCTCAGGATACAAAATCAATGTGCAAAAATCACTATACACTGATAACAGACAAACAGATAGCCAAATCATGAGTGAACTCCCATTCACAATTGCTTCAAAAAGAATAAAATACCTAGGAATCCAACTTACAAGGGATGTGAAGGACCTCTTCAAGGAGAATTATAAACCACTGCTCAATGAAATAAAAGAGGACACAAACAAATGGAAGAATATTCCATGCTTATGGATAGGAAGAATAAATATCATGAAAATGGCCATACTACCCAAGGTAATTTATAGATTCAATGCCATCCCCATCAAGCTAACAGTAACTTTCTTCATAGATTTGGAAAAACTACTTTAAAGTACATATGGAACCAAAAAAGAGCCCACATTACCAAGATGATCCTAAGCCAAAAGAACAAAGCTGGAGGCATCATGCTACCTGACTTCAAACTATATTACAAGGCTACAGTAACCAAAAGAGCATGGTACTGCTATCAAAACAGAGATATAGACCAATGGAACAGAACAGAGTCCTCAGAAATAATACCATACATCTACAACCATCTGATCGCTGACAAACCTGACAAAAACAAGCAATGGGGAAAGGATTCCTATTCAATAAATGGTGCTGGGAAAACTGGCTAGCCATATGAAAGCTGAAACTGGATCCCCTCCTTACACCTTATACAGAAGTTAATTCAAGATGGATTAAAAACTTAAATGTCAGACCCAAAACCATAAAAACCCTAGAAGAAAACCTAGGCAATATCATTCAGGACATAGACATGGGCAAACACTTCATGTCTAAAACATCAAAAGCAATGGCAACAAAAGCCATAATTGACAAATGGAATCTAATTAAATTAAAGAGCTTCTGCACAGCAAAAGCAACTACCATCAGAGTAAACAGGCAACCTACAGAATGGGAGAAAATTTTTACAATCTACCCATCTGGCAAAGGGCTAATATCCAGAATCTACAAAGAACTCAAACAAATTTACAAGAAAAAAATCAAACAACCCCATCAAAAAGTAGGTGAAGGATATGAACAGATACTGCTCAAAAGAAGACATGTATGCAGCCAACAGACACATGAAAAAATGCTCATCATCACTGGTCATCAGAGAAATGCAAATCAAAATCACAATGAGATACCATCTCACACTAGTTAGAATGGCTATCATTAAAAAGTCAGGAAACAACAGGTGCTGGAGAGGATGTGGAGAAACAGGAACACTTTTACACTGTTG